CCTCTGAAACTACTAGGCGCCTGACGTGGCCATTTGACCTAGAGAACAGAAGGCTGACTTCAACTATGGGAAGGACTGGCGGCCAAGCAGTCAAGGAAAAGAAACAGCGTTATTTTGTGACTTTTTTGTTTGTGTTTGAGCCCACGAAGAGGGCTAAAAGGAAGTTCCAGTAGCACACCTCGCGTATCACACACCCATCAGGAGCCCAGGAAGCGCCAGAGCTGGGCACATCACACTGACGTGAAACAGGTAAGACCCGTGCCCTCAAGGTGCAAACAGCCGAGGAGGAGACGGGTGTTGTGAACCACGCACCACAGGAACACACACACACATTAACCGCTGCCCCCAAAGGGGGCGGTAACTGTGAACTGCACCCCCCCACTCCCGGCATCCCCACCTGGAAAAGAGGAGGGCGGTCCTGGGCTTTCCGACCTGCTCTGCCCGCCTCGGCGTCTTCCAGCCAGTGTTTCCTCCTCCCCTACTTTTTCCTTCCCGGTAAGTCCTGCTGCGTCACGACCAGCGTGGCACTCGGCTGCGGCTCTCCCGGCTGCTGTGAGAGGCCCGCGGGCTGGACGGTGGCTCGCTGAATAATTGAAAGGCAGCTTCTCCCATCCAGAAGCAACGCTCTGGTTACTGTGGGTAGCATCAGGCCACCTACCTTTCCGCCTGTGCCCGAGACAGGGACATACTGGTGGTGGCTTCGGCTCAAACAGCCAATGAATCAGCAATGTGCAAAGCTACCCCCGATCCTCAGAAACTAGGGACCCTCTGCCCCCGTCGCAAATGGAAAGGTGTGTGTGGAGGAAGAGCTTGTTAGATTCGCTGGCCAGCCCCAGGACAGCAAGCCAAAACAACTACCTGTGTCGTAACAACGCAGCCACGATTATTGATAGTCTTTTAAATCAAGCAAGGAAGTTTTATCTGCTTCCTCCTTGCCGCGGGCAGCCCCTCAGTTATTTCAATAAGCACCCTCGCCAGGGATTTCAGAGAAACACAAATCATTGACACATCTGTGTCAGACTATAAACAGAAGCGAGCCTCTTCCTGTGGGCAGAACAGCATGCCGAAAGATCTGGAGCTCCCCAACAAGGTCTGCCTGTTCAAATCCCCGACAAAACTGAGTTCTAAGAATCCCTTGCATCATGACTGGACTCGCAGGGTTTCTAGGTGTGACTGCTGAAACGGGCCGATTTCGTCGGGGCTCAACAGTGGAGCCCAACGAGCGAAAGCTGGAGGAAGCCTGGAAACAAATCCACAAAACAGTGTCCTCTTTACGCCCAGCCCGAGAAGGTGGCTCTGAATAGTTTCATTAAGCCCCTGGATTAATTGAGGTAAGCCCCTCCTGATTCATTCCTCACTCACGCAGGGAGCCCAGCGTGCTGAGCTGGGTTCGCTCCAGGACTCCGGCATGTCAAGGCATGTTGAAGGATGGCGGGGAGGGGGGCGCCATTCTACAGGAACTTAGTTATGTAAGGGACAGAGGAACCTTCTGGAAAAGACCTCCCCAGGAAAGAGACTTCCAAGGCAAACATGTTTAATAAAGGACAGAGGGCCAGCGGGGAAGGGATAAAAGGGCAAGAAGAATGAGATTGGGGGGTGGGGCGCGTCTGGGAGGCTGAGGGAGCCCCAGGCTGTTCCTGTTTCAGAGGCTCTTCCTGCAATATTATAACAGCCAGAAACGTCAAAACTGGGTTAGAAAAACAGACACATTTTACAAATGTACATGTAGCATATTAATGTTGTTAGCACCAAAACGGAAACACATTGCAGATAATCGTGCCATCCCCAAGATCGTAAGTGGATTTCCAAAGTGCCACTGATCCGTAGTTCAGGGCAGGCAGGATGGTCCCTGATGGGAACACAGGCGAACGGCCGTCGAGTGGGTCCAACAGCATCTCCGAGGTGGTAGGAATGACCTGGTCTGGAGTCATCCCCGCGACTGGCCTGCAGGTGGCTGTGTCTGTCTGTCCTCCTGCTCTGCCCTCCCTGGCCCAGCCTGAGTCCGATGCCTGGGGGAGGGGGAGCTGCAGAAAAAGAGCCCGTGGAAACCACAAGAGCTCTTTACCCATCAGCTCCGGGAGACGCTGAGCTCGCAATCCTTTTGGCACCAAAAGCAACTTCTTCAGCAACTTGGGTGACCTGAGCCACCACGGGAGTCGGCTCAGACATGGTCGCCTCCGCCGGGCACGGGCAGCCTTGGCGCAGGCATTGCAGGGCCATCACAGCCCTGGGAGGGCCTTTGACGGGCACCGGCCGTGGTGGCATCTTCCAAGCATATGGCCAGCAGACCTATCACCGTATAGTATTGATGATAAGGAAGATCATCAACGAGAGCCCAACTCCCAATGGCAGGAGAATCATAGTAGCCACGCGATTACCAGGAAGATCTCTTCCCATCAATGCACCCCTCGCTGCCCTTGCCCTCGGGGGCCAGCCTTCCCCCAGAGAGGACACACTCTGTCTCCCCATGGCTGATTTGATAGGCACAGACCAACTGGAGAGTCACCATCTGTGACTGCGTGGGCGAATCTACTTCATTCTGGGGCTTGGTATTTTTAAAGCCTACCTGTCCATGGATGGAAGGTTTATTCTTCAATATAAACTTTAATCCGAAAATTTTTAAATGTTATATCTTTGACTCTATATGCTGGTCCTTTTGTCTCATTTCTAGATGGGTTCAGAACTTGTGGAAGAGAAATGCTATTTATGGAGGCTCTCAGACACTCATCATCATCATCGTCGTCATCATCATTATCATCACCAGCGCCATCACCATCACCATCATCACTGTATTCTCAGGGCCTGCTATATAGTGTGGCCCTAGAAGACACACAAAAATATGTTTGAGGGAATCAATGAAAAAGAAAATACGTGCCATCCTCATCCCTGGGCAGTAGCAGAAATAATATGTTGGGAACTGGAGGGGTGTCTAGTGGGAAGATGACAGATCAGGAGATAAATTGATGCTCATCATAGTGACTCAGTTTTTTCTTCCCATAAGGCTGGTATACCCAGTAAAGATAGCTTACTCCCCTACTGGTTTTTACTTTTCAGAAATATCCCTTGGGCATTTAACATGTGCCAGGCACGCAGAAGAAGAATCCCCACATTTTAGGAGTTCATACACTAGTTGGGTAGGCAGACCTGGGTGCCAGTACCTGGAATTCAACATGACAAGTGGTTTACTAACAACATAAACTAGTTCCTGTCGTAGCACAGAGGAGGTGATAGTGAACTCTGCCTGTCAAGTGAGTTAGGACAGTTTTAAAAAGCCGAGGACCATAAAACATCAGCTTAAGTCCATGGATTCATAATACAGAAAAGAAAAATAAAATGCTTGGGGCATTGAACAAACTACTATGTATCTTTCAGTTCTCCTCGAAGCCAGAAAACGGAACAGACCTCAGTTCAAGTGGGTTAGCTGGTGACCCATTCATCCAATGAGCATCCGCTGAGGGACGACTATGTATAAGAACTGCCCCCTGGGCCCATGGTAGACACAACTGTGAAGAAAAGGGACCCGGGCGCCTGGAGCCCCAGGTTCCAGGGGGACGTAGACCTTCTCTGGCTGCCGTCTCAGGCCTGGGCTCTCAGGCCCTGGGTTTGGCAGACTTTTCCTTCCTGCAGGAATTCCTGCCACAGACAGGGATGGGTGTCACGTAATTTGAGCTTTGACCCCTACTTGAACCAATGACCCTGGACATTCTGATGAAGAGGATTAAATCCAGGAAAAGCTCATGTCAAACTTTTAAGTACTGTTCTGTGTTACAGGCAGTAGAAAATACAATAAAATTATCTTGGGACGAGGATTCCTTTGCTCTGGAAACCTCAAGTATCGAGGAATGGCCACTTTCAATTCTGATACCAATTCTGACGTGCATTTTTCCCTGAGCAATTCTTGGACACCAGTGGGTGTGCTGTCATCCAACTGCATTCTGACATTCTCTCTGGAGATGGCGTCAGATTCCGTGTCCCCCCAAGACTTCAGATGTCGGCCACAAGTCCCTCTGTGCCTCTGACCAACTGGCTGTGGGAGGACGGCCCAACCTCCTGTTGTAATTTCCTTTTGAGATACTAACGCCTTTGGCAAAGTTTTGTTGTTCCAGCCTGGCCTTGTTTTAGCTGCAGGTAAGGGAAGGATCGGTGTGGAACAGTAAAGGTGCAACAGACTTTCCTCCTCCTGAAGTCGGCTTCGTGATAGCAGTGTTGATGGAAGGGAGGCAGAAGGTTCTAGAACTGCAGAAAATGGCCAGCAGGCAAGGGGTTGGTGGCCCATGGCAGAGTGGAGTTCGCGCACCAGGAATGGTGTAAAGCAGAGGCACAGGTGTGGTGTGACGGACCTGGGAACTGGCATGAGGCAACTTTCCACCACTCGCCTCCATTCGAGCGTGCTAGAGAGTTAGCAGGACTATGGCGGAGACTGGCTCGGTGCGCGACACTGTTATTTCTGCTGAGCGCACAGAAGGTGACATCTCCCAGACCCTTTGCAATGAACGTGACCAAACGTGATTTAGGCCCCTTTCGGGCATGGCCGCTAACATCTCTGTGATGTCCTCTGCTTGATCTCTCCTTGCTTGCTGGTCAGCTCAGGCAGCTCACGCGATAGGCAGAGGATTCTAAGACAGCCACAGAGGACAGCACGCCCGAAAGACAGAAGGAGGCAGAATCGCTGAGTCAGCACTCGGGGGAGCACAGTCAGACCTGTTTTGCATTGTGACGCAAGCAAAGAATAAACATTTATTGTGTTAAACCACTGAGATTTCAAGGTGTGCCACTCGCATTAACTATTCTGACTAATACGGCAACACAAAGCGATGTCCAGAGCCCTGTTACACGGACGAGATTCATCAGAACCGTCAGACATTCAGGTTATAATAACATGAATCAGAAAGAGTTTGCAGTCCACAAAGAGGTTTTAGGAAAAAATGTGACCGTGGAAGGAAATCCAGGGGCCTAACTAAACATGTCTTTGTTTTTCTACTGCAGACACTAGCGATGGGGCACAGCGCCGCCAGGAGAGGTTTCAGCAAAGAGTCTCAGTGCCGTTCCCTTGTCAGAACAGCCAGGACTCGGGAGCTTGTTTGACCGTGGGGAAGCCATCGAGATGCTGCCCACGTTCCCCGGTTGTCTGCTCGTAGGTGTCTGTTTGTAACCTGAGGTATGCATCACCACGGTTTTATCTTTTACTTCCCTAGGGCTGTTAAAACATAAAACGAATTTAAAAATAGTATACCAAGTCGGTTCTTCCTCACCCAAGACTACGCGAACACAGTGCTCTGGAAGTAGATAGAACTACACACCAGAATATGAGCAAAAGTTTTTTTTTTTTAAATAGCTGACCCGGCAGCCCTGGCGGAAGAGCCCTTCATGCGGGACACACAGACGTCCTTTCTCTGAACCCTCTTCTGTCATTTCCTCGAGGCCTGGACGGGGCACCGGACCAGAGGTTCGCCAGGGCCGTTCTTCCTCTCACAGAGCACCGAGTACGACCACGAGAAAGGGGGCACCCAGCCAGGCGAGGTGGGTCTGTGGCTTTTCTCCTGTTTTTTTTTTTATTTATTTTTTATGCAAATGGAACTTACGATCCATGCAACAGCATGGATGAAGCTTGAAACCATTAAGCTGAGTGAAAGAAGCAAGACCCCAAAGGCCACATTTTGTGTAATCCCATCACTATGACATGTCCAGAGTGGGCACATTCATAGGGACAGGGAGCAGGTTCGTGGATGCCAGGGCGTGTGCCCGCTGTCTCCTGGGGACAGGGCTGCCTTTGGGGATGACACAGACGTTCTGGAGCTAGAGTACGGTGATGGCTGCGCAACGCTGTGAATGTATAGATGCCGCCAAATTGTACACGTTAAAATGGTGGTTTTTACATGAATCCCACTTCCATTTAAACACATTTTGACATTTTTTTTAAGAAAGCAACCTAGTATTAGTGGCCACCTGGCTTGTGGGGACCGCCGATTCCTGCTCTGTCTGCTACTCATCCTTCCTGCAGTCAGCGTATGAACCATGGCAGCGTCAGCAGCAGGAGAAATGACCGCTGCTCGCTGCAGCCAGACTGGCAAAAAAACACACGACTCAACTTGCGGGCAGTCGACTGGCTGCCAAATCAATAGGAAATCAGAAAGGGGAAGTCCTGTGCTGTTCAGGCCAGTCTCAGGGGACAGCAGGCTGCCACCTGCCACCGGAGCGGACGCAGACCTCGGGTTCCTGGACAGGAGATCAATCAACAAACAGCAAATGCACGGACCTGCAGCCTGTCTACCTACTTCCCCCCAGTGCGAGTTGGTGCTATTTAAAGATGTGATCATTTAAAAAATCTCTCACCCAGAACTAGCTTTTGCGGCAAACCAGACTTCGACAGTGAAGAGCAGGGTACCCAGAAGGCAGAAGGGGAGCTGGGAGTGGATTGGGATTGTCATGCTGATCCCTACATAGCCACCCTGTCCCTGTCACGGATTCGGGTGGGTAGCAAGGCTCAAGGCTTCAAGGAAACAGACCCCAGAACACTTGCCTTAAATCCCTGCCCTCCCTCCTCACCTCAGTCTCGCAGTCCCCTCTCTGCCGGAGCCCAGAGGTAGAGGGTACATCTGACCGGAGGATGTGTCGCTTCGTACAGAAGCTCCCACCCTTCGCCCGAGCCCCAAGCTGCTCTGTTCGATGGCTTCCAAGCAGTTTAGAATGTGACGTCAGCGAGACGCCAGCAGGCTCTCCCTGGTCCCACACCATAGAAAGCAAACGTTTGGCGTTTTGGACTGTGGAGTCCTGCCCCCAGCCCTGCTTTGAGGGTGCAAAGACAATCCAGCCAGGTGGCTGCAGCCCCCCAGGCAGAGGGGGGCTGGAGCGGGCTGGGCTCACAGGAGCCCACTGTTAAACTTACAGGAACTTTGCAAGCCAGCTCTTCTTCAATGAAAGCATTGTTTACAAAAATCGTATTACAAATATGACTAGCGCTGGAAGAGCTCTCGGTTTAGTGGTTGTGCAGTTGCCTCCGGAACAACCCTGGTCTGGGTGGTGCGGGTCCACTTCTATGCAAATTTTTTCAATAAATACGGTAAATATATTTTCTCTTCCTTATGACTTTCTGAATAAGCTTTGCTGTAGCTTACTTTATTGTAAGAATACAGGATACAATACATAATACACAAAGTCTGTGTTAATCGACTGTTATTGCTAAGGCTTCTGGTTACCAGCAGCCAATTAGCAGTTTTCGGAGAGTCGGAAGTTGTGTGTGGATTTTCGACTGTACAGGGATCCGGCACCTCTAACTCCACACTGCTCGGCAGCCAACTGTAATTCGTACAAGGGTCATAAATAGTAAGTAAACTGCAGATTGCACAACAGATGTAATTTCTCGGGGAAAAGAGTTAGCTGATTGGAAGGCAACTCTATTTGTCCTATCGTGGCTGATTTGCAACTATCGTTTGGCTGCATGAATTCAGCAGAAATCAGCAAAGCATTTTTGTGAGGGCCAAGTGGTTATGTGGAAATTACAGTAAGGTGTGTCGTGTATTTTATTATTTGCAAATTGTATTCTATACTCCCCTTATATCAATAAAATTAGTAATAAGCCAAATTCTTTTTTTTTTTTCAGAGAACCGGTTGTTAAACATGACCAGCATAGCACCGCCTGAAGGTCAGTCCCGCTAGGAGATCTGAGGGGGACATTTGCTCATTTTCCCACCTGTGAAATGGAAGGAAGGAGGGAAGGAGGGAATGGAGGGAGGGAAGGAGGGAGGGAGTAGGAGTGCCCAACCTGCAGCCTGTGGGCTGCATGCGGCCCAGGATGCCTATGAATGTGGCTCAACACAAAATCATGAATTACTTAAAACCTTTTTTTGCTCATCAGTTTTCATTTGTGTTTGTGCATTTCATGTGTGGCCCAAGACAACTAACTCTCCTTCTTCCAGCGCGGCCCTGGAGACACCAAAAGGTTGGACAGCCCCTTGCATTTCAAATGCAAAGCAGTGGAGCAAACCGTAGATGGGAAAAACCCAGGGCTCTCTCTCTCGGCACAGGTAGGGCAGGCGGCCTCCGACCTAGGGTGATCCGAGAGGTGCTCCGGAGTGACAGCCCAGGGCGCCCTGTCCCTCCAGCTTGCCCAAGCCTGCCGCTGCCTGGAACCCGCAGGACGTGAGCTGCTTGGGGTGAGCATCGCCTCCTATAGCATTCTCTTGACTGCAGTGTCGCTCATTAGCACCTTAGCCCACATTTGGGTATAAATAGCCACACATGACCTTGAAAAGCACTGAACTTCCTCCCAGGAAAATAAGGTGTAACTCAAAGTGCTGATGTGGGGAGGGAGCCAGGAAGAGTCCAGGCGTTGGGCTTGCTCCGACATTACAGCCATAGAATGAGGAGCCCTGGACAGCACTGGGCATGGCCCTGAAGGGCCTGTCGGCCCAAGTTTAAGGGCTTCACAAAGGCGGGTGGGGTAAGGAGCTTGGAGTGAACCCTAATGCAAACTCTGGAGTCTGGGTGACGTTGACTGTCACCAATGTCCCACTCTGGTGGGGCTTGTTGATGGTGGGGAAGGCTTGTGTCTGCGGGGACAGGCGGTGTATGGGAACCCTCTGTACTTTCTGGTCAGATTTGCTGTGAACCTAAAACTGCTCTAAAAACACAGTCTATTTTTAACAGGGTAGGGAGTTGGGACCAGGAGTGTGGATCTGGTTCCGCTGCAGTGTGCAGCCAGCTGCCGTCCCAGGAGCCCTCTTTCCCTGCCTCTCGCCAGGTAACAGCCCTCCAGCGTCTCCCGCCTGGACGGTAGCACAGACCTTGCAAAGATGTAATTATAGCTTAATAGACCAGCAGGGCCACACACGTGGATTTCCACATCCAAAGTGGTGGGGATGACGAGAGAAAGAGTTGCCCCCCACTGCGGAAATCGAGCTAACGGAGCTCATCGATCATAAGCTAACTGAACTCATCAATAACACTCGTAAAGGCATCCTTCCCCCTCAAGGCCCTCTCCCCTCGAGGGAATTAGCCCTTCAGACTAATTCCTAGGATTTCCCTGTTTTTCAAACATCCCAATTTCGTTTAAAATGTGTCTTTTACTTTGTTAATTGTGACTGCCCTGGTTTGCAAAATATGTAGTTGAACCTGTTTTTGAAGGTTTCCTTGACTTGACTTCCCATGACAACTCCTCTTTGCAAATTGTGGACTTGGGTTGCTCTGCAATGCTCGGGTCAGAAAAAAAATTTTTGGATTTGTCTCCCTCTGTTTGAAAGTTTTTGTGAAGACAGATTACACTTCACCTCCCTATTTCGTGAATGTCTTTTCCTGAAACGAATTGCCTCTGACCCAGGTGGGACCATTCTGGGAATGCAGACTGAACGGCCCGGTGCCGGCGTCTCCTCCCTGCAGAGATGGGGTCCCAGGGGGCGTCTCCCTTGGCTCCCAGGTTCTCACTGTTTTTCCGAGATGTCGCCTTTGAGAAGTGTCTGCCCCCTCCCTGTTCCAGCCCAAGTGGGAATCTCTTCCCTTAACGCCCCCAGTGTGATGATGCTGAGACAGACGCACCGGATGGCTCTGTCTTCCCAGGAGTTAGCTCTCCAGTTAGATGCTTTCTGCTTCTTTCACCCACGTTATAGAGGAAGCAGTGCTGCGTGAGCAGAGTACCTGGAGCCCAAGTTACCTTCACAACACATACTGAAGCTGCCTATGCAGTCTATACGTAGGCTGGGGGGCAGATGAAGACTGAGCGGAGCGCGCTGTTCCTGGTTAATACGTGGGAACCAGACACATGACAACAGTAGGATTACCGGTGCACCGAGTGGCTAGGTGTCTCTGGGATCCTTCCTGGGAGTGTCAGCCCTCTAATCGCCAAACAGAGGAATCTTGTGGAGCAGGAGCTGTCTCCCGGGCTCTCCGGCTCCTCTGGATCTGGAGGAAGGCGAGGAGGGAGGCCAGGGAAGGGAAGGCATGCTCGGTGGGGCTGGATGTGGCGTTGGATATGTGGAAGCCATTGCTCAGCGTGAGCTCTTGACTGAGGCTGCTGGAAAAGCTGATTTCCTGTCTGCTGGGCAGCATTTGCGGGAGTCACAGGACACAGGCATGTGTCCTCGTGGTGGAACTCCCCCTCGGCCAGAGTGTCCGAGGACCAGCGTGCTCACAGGTGATCCTCTCGGAGTCGAGGCTTCTGGGCTGCGGAAAGAGTCCGACAGCAGAAGCTAAACAGCAAGAGAGAAACACCAGGACTGGAGACGACTTTGTGGTCCCACTAATGCCCGGGATACCGTCTCTTTCCTGTGTCCTGCCCTCCTGGTAGAGCCTCCGGACGGCTGAAAAATGACAAGTAGCAGCTGCTGTTTGCCTCTGTGGCTTTTCACTCTGCTCCCTCAGAGAGGGCCGCAAGTAGCCGGGCTCTTGGACAGGCGGAGGCTGCTCCTGTCCACCAGTCGTCCCTCCTGCGGGGGGCGCCTCCCAGCTGAGAAAGCCCCGCTGAAGAACAGGAAGGGTCACCAGGTCCGTTCCTGTCCTTAGTTCCAAGGCATCTCGTCTTTGACCTGGGTTTCCTGACCCAGACTCAGGGCACGTGGTCTGAAAGTGGGTGTGTGTGGTGCTCCCAGGGCCGGGAGTCATTTGGGAGAACCCTAGTTTAGGAATACAGATGTTGGGATTGGGGGGCACATCTGGAGGTAAAGCATAGGAGAACGACATGGAAGAACGGTAGCTTGGGAGTCAGGTGGCTGTGATTAAAAATCCTGTCTCCACTTCCTGCAATAAAAACAGTACAGTCTTGGGCAGGTGTGGCACTGCCTTCTCTCCTGGAAAGCGGAGTCCTGGTACCCACTTCATAGAGCTGTTCCAAATATCGAGATAATGCGTGTGCATTAAACCGCCACAGGTGCTTTCTACGGAACAGGGGCGTTGAGCTTCTTCATGGGTCCACTGCTTTTCTTAGCATAGAAACGAGAATTTTGACTTTCCGGTCATAGTCTGGGAGGGAGTCCTGGGGAGTGGATGAAAGCAGGGAAAGAAGGGAGGGTCCGGTGAGGTGGTGTGAGGCTGTGGAAGGAGGTGCTAAGTTCCTCCTTAAGGCTGCTGGACCTGGTTCAAATCCTGCCTCTGCCCCTTAGTAAGTCTGGAGCTTCAGGCAAGTTATTTGCCTTCACTTAGTTCAGGTTTTGTATCTGGAAAATGGGAACCCTAGTATCTCCCTGTCGGGGCTGCTGTCAGAGTTAAACAAGGTAAGTATTGTGAACTGCCTAATACCCGGTGTCTGTTGCTGCTCTCGCTGTGAATAGCAATGGGGACATACAGTCTGATCTTCCTGATGAAGGACCCCTCCGAGAAAGCACCTGTGTAACTCTGGGCTCCTACAGAGCTTTACCCTGTGAGCACAGCAACGAGGTTTCCTCCTTGATTCTCCCTTCCAGAGGTCACAGCTGCACTTCCCTGCCGTTACCACCATCGGTACATTCCCATCACTCACAGGGATTTGTTTTAAATCAGAACAATCGTTTACAGAAGTTTGTCCTCAGCCCTTCAGGAAGTAGAGACATGGCTAAAGATTTGTGATCTAGGATGTTCAATACAATAATATTACGTATACAAAATAAAAATGTTGGACATAATCCAAACTTCTGGTTATGGATAGGTAATAAATAAATTATAATACTACGAATATTATACCACCATTTACAGTTATATCTTGAAATATCTTTAATGCCATGGTAAAATATTCATGATACAATACTGAATAAAAACAGTCCATACAAGTATATATAAATATCTTTCAATTACATGTCTAAAAATATACACATATTTGCATTGAAAAACAGAGTTTAAAAGAATATATCAAATGATGGGATAGAGATTTTCCTACAATATGTCATTATTATGTTTAGAATAAGAAAAAAATTAAGTGAGTGATCGGTCTGTCTGTGGCTTATTAATTAGTATCTGGTGACGAACAAGATAAATGGCCTTTCTTCACTCGTTCTCCTCCTCCATTTAGATTTGGCTGCTTGAGACGGAAGGCTCTGTCTAGTGTTTCTGTTTCTTCCTTGTAATGCAGGGCTCTCGGAACACAGAGGCAGCCAACCGGGAAGTCTAAGAAGCAGCGGCGAAGACGATCAGTTCTACGGTGTGTTCTGAAAAGCCCCTGTGGTCCATCTTTTACCCAAAGGACTGGCAGCCCACCGGGTGAAATTCCACAGCAACGAAGGTGCCGAAGTTCCCAGTACAGAGCAAAAGCCAGAAACAAGTAAATAAGCGTAGGGTCAAGTACATCTGAGTTCCAATCCCAAAGGCTAAGTCAACTGGACCAGGTTACCTACTTCCGGGAGTCCCACTTCAATGGCCCATAATAACACCTTTCCTCAAGGTGACTGTAAGAATTCAAGGCGGTGCGGCGCCTGGGGAATTGTTTGTCTTTTCCCTTCCCCCTCTGGAAGCATGAATCATGCAGCTAAGGAAAGGGTGGTGTGAATAATTAAAACTGTCAGCCGCTCCCACAGTTCATTAAACATCTTCTTTGGGAGAGCCCAACAGATTTAAAATGAAATTTTAAATGAAATTTTAAATGGTATTGTGTGGGCAGAATTCACCCACATCTGGAAAACTCCAAGTGGAATCTTGGTTTCGGTTGCTGCCTGGTGGAGTTTTCTGTATTTCCCTGAAAACCTCTTGCTGTTCCATCAAATCGGATGGGGGAGGAACGTTCGATCCCCCAGGGCCTGGGGTTAAGCACTAGATATGAAAATCACACGGAGACCAGGAGAGATAATACGATGTCTCAGCTCATTTATTCTCAAAGGCTTTATGAGGCAGGAGAAGAGGTGCATGGAAGGAACTTACAAAGAGTAACCAGATTTATGCGGCAAAAGGATCTCATTTTTATCTTTCAATACTGGGAAGCAGGATTACCTTTGATAAAATAGTTTTCTTGGAATTGGAATAGCTGCTATTTCTTTTGTGTTTCTCCCTTACAAGTACAAGGACATGATAATGAGTGTAATAAAGTCATAATGAAAATTTATTTCTCATCCTACCCCATCTCTTCCTAACTCTGCTTGTGCTGTGACTAGTTAAGCAGTACTTTTCAATACATTTTTATTCTCAGTTATCTACCATATATTTTTCTTGTATTATCACAACAACACTATATTTTTTTCCTTTAGATTTCTGAAAAAATGGACCTTTAGATTGCTTTTACTTCAAAAGTGGGGGCCATAATTAGCTGGGGCTATTTGTGCATTAAGCAAGCCGGTCATTTCTGCAGAGAAGCGAAATGGAGAGCAGTAGTGATTGAATTTTGGTATGCATGAGTCAGCGTTATTGAATATTAATCTGCATACAGCTGCACTTACAATGACCTGGTTCCCCACCACACTTGGAGAAATTCTGCTTCTGTCCTTGTGTCACCCATGTTGCAGAATCCTTGCTCCTTATGCTGCAAAATCCTCCGTGTAGCTTTTTTTCTCGTGGTCTCCAGATGGCTGCTCCATGTCCTCGCTCCTGGCAGGAGGAAGGCCTGAGGACAACAACAGAGTGAGTGTACCAGCTAGTCTGGCCTTTCAATGGAAAACAATCGTGTCTGTAGCATTTTTACCCAATAGAATGTAGCTTGCATCTCACTCACCGGAATTATGTTACATGTGTATTCCTAATTGCCAAGGAAACCTGGGGAGTCCTCCTTGTGAAATGTTTCTCTGGTGCAAATGTATCGCATCTGCTATCAGCTCCAAGTGCCTCCTTGGAGACACCCTCCCGGTGTGCTCTGCTGCCCTTCTCTGGCCCCAGAGGGAGACGCTCCAGGCCTGATGCTCAGCCAGACCAGGGACACTTCCATTTCCACTGTCCATGGGGGTTCCTTCCTCTTCCTCCTGGGTTAGGCCCTCTGCTTCTTGGATGCTTAGCTCTTAGTTGATTCCCCTCCCCCCCTTTTTATGGTGCACATCCTTCCGTAGCTTTTTGAAAAGGAGCAGTAAATTTTTGAGATCTTACATGTCCGAAAAGAACTTTTATCTTGATGACTAAGTAGAATTTCTAGATCAATGATAAAATATGTCTATTTTGTATATATATTTTATATTTAATTTATAAATAGACATATTTTTAAATATAAGTATTTAACAAATATATATTTTCTGGCTTTTGAAGGCATTGCTTCATTGTCATCCAGTTTCCAATGGTGTGACTGAGAAGTCTGAAGTCATTCTTATCCCAGAACTGGCCCATATGCTCTGTGTTTCTCTCCGGGAATTTTTGGCGTGTTCTACTGGTGTTCTAAAAGTTGGCTTGGCTCTTTCTGTGTTGCACTGAGCACTCGACGGCTCTTTTTTTGTTTTTAAGATTTTATTTATTTATTTTTAGAGCAGGGAGAGAGCGGCGGAGGGAGAGAGGGAAACATCAATGTGCGGTTGCTGGGGGTCATGGCCTGCAACACAGGCATGTGCCCCGACTGGGAATCGAACCTGTGATGCTTTGGTTCACAGCCCGCGCTCAATCCACTGAGCTACGCCAGCCAGGCACTCGAGGGTTCTTTTAATCTGCAGACGTATGTCCTTCAGGTTTAGGAAACCTTCTCATATTTTTTCCTTGATCATTTCCTTCCCTCCATGGTCTCTATTCTCTTCTTCTGGGAAAACCGTTAATGGCAGACTGCACTTCTTAGATTGTTGTCTGTCTTCTTGTTCCTGTTTTGTCTTGTTAACCGTGGCTTTTAGTTTGCATTCTCCTTTCTTGTAATGTGTTTACATGACATATCCTTTCTCATCATTTCACTTTTAACCCGTATCTTTCTATTTAAAGTGCATCTCTTATGAACAAAGAAAGTAAAACCTTACTCTTTACCCAGTCTGACGATTTTTGTCTTCTAACGGGTTTAGCCCATTTACATGTAATGTAATCACTGATATGGTTGAGTGTTGGTCTTGCTATTTATTGTCTCTTTGTCCTGTGTGTTCTTTGACCTCTCCTTGCCTCCTCCATGCCATCAGTTGGATTGAGTACTTGGGGTATTCAGCTGTGTCTCTATTGCCTTTTTGGTTTTACCTTTGTTTATGTTTAAGACACAAAACAAGTTTCAAAAATATTTACCCACATACTTATGATTTCCAGTACACTTCACTCTTAGAATTTCTGATATCATTTCCCTGGAGCCTGAAGAACTTGCAGCAACATTTCTTGTAGTGCAGGTTTTTTCGGTACTGAATTTTCTCACTTATTGTTGTTTTGAAAATATCTTTATTTTGCCTTCACTTGTGAAGCCTATTTTCCCTGGATCTAGACACCTAGGCTGATAGTTTATTTTTTCATTTATTACTTTAGAGATGTCATTCAACCGTCCTAGGTAGACATAGAGGTATTTTCTGTTGTGATTCCAACCCTTAGCTAATGGAAACCGTTTGTTAGACCACGCGAGTCCCAGCAGGCAATGGAAAACAGTATGTTGAAGGCAGAAGGCAACTCATTCAAACTCTAATGAGCGTTGTGCCTCAGAACAATAGCAGAGCCCCTTTTCTCGCAGCGGCAGAGGGAGCCCCGTGAGTCTGTGCTTCTGTGACTTGGAAGGTCCTCGAACTCCTGCAGAGTCTGCTCTTGCCTTCCTGGAGGATTAGGAATCCAGCCCTCCACCGTCTCTCAGGCTAGGAGGGTCCCCCCTAAAAACCTGTGCTTCCCTTAACATATCGTGTTTCACAAATGAAGTTATCTGTTTTCTCTAGCAGGTCACAAACTCCCCAAGGGTAGAGATCATGGCGAGCCCTCCCCCTGTTCCACAGCCAGCTGTTCAGTCAACCACCGTGACCTGAGTGGTTCTCTGCAGTGAGGAGGGCCCCCCAAGATGGTACCTTGTTCGATGTCATTTCCTTGTAATGTTGGAGGGATGCTGTAGGAACTTAACTCTGGTTTGTGTGAAACAGGCTATGGTAAAATCGGTTGCGTCAACTGTCATTTCACTTGAAGGCACAGAACCTAGCCACGACAGTAAGTGAGGACCTGCTGTGTATATTTCGAGCGTGCTGATGTTTGAGGACACAACATGGAGAGGCAGGGAGACGGGGTGGGAGCCTAAGTGGGGTCCAGCAGCAAGATGTTCTTACAGCATCTTTTTATGTTAAAAACGCCCTACATAGAGGGAGTCAGATGGTGGACGGAGACCAGAGGATTCTGCGCTGGGCAGCCAGGCTTTCTGCCTGTGAAGTTCCACCTGTGACCTCTGCTGAGTGAGAGACAAAACAGAAAGGTCAATGTCACAGAGCAACGTCTGCTCGTTGGCAGTTGGTACAAACAAGTGGACACAGAATGCAGTGGAATCCTGGCCATCACCATTATCCAGTTTGGCTGGGACCGGAGAAGTCACCCTAAATGCCGGGTAGTCCCCTTTCCTCTCTGGCGAAAGTCGGGAGGCAGTCGGGGGGTCTGTGGCACGGATGGCACCTTCTTTGCATACGGAGGGGGCAAAAATATATAGTGTATCTTTAAGTGGGAGAGGACCAAATGCAAGGACAAACTTCTTGATTCTAAAAAGAAATTCTTGCTGTAAGAGAGAGGACCAAGAAGGGGAAGAAGCAGGGACGTTTGGTTGGAAAATCAAATAATTTGTCACAGTTGTTAAAAAATTAGATATACTAGACAGACTGATAGTTTTGTTTTTCTTTTAGGTAGTGTGTGTGTATGTGTGTAAAGAGAGACAAAAATAAAGCATATGGAAAAATGTTACTAATTAGTGCGTCTAGGTGAAGGATATATATAGGTATTTCTTTTAGTGTTCTGCAATTTTTTTATATATTTGAAATTGTCTAATTAAAAATATTATCATGATTAATAAAGATGAATCTGTATATTCTTGGAATATTCTGCTTAGCCCATTCAGAGCATCTACAGAAGCTTCATTACTGGCTGCCACGTTCCTCTCCCCGAAGTCCTGTCTCCCCACCCACTTAGCATGAGTCAGAATCTCTCTTGGGGGGACATGGCCCAATGCTCCCCCCTCAGTGCTCCTCTGGACACCCAGCTGGCGCAGCGGAGAGCCACTGCTCTGTTGGTGGTGGCATCGGAGCCACTCGCCAAAGCAGGTTGTGCCCCGTCGTTTCCCTGGAGAGCTCTGGAGTTCCAGCTGTGGTCTTCTTTGGAGGCCGACGGTTGAACCAGAGAAACCTCCCGAGGCCCTTCCTCCTGACAGTCAGTCAGTGCGCCTGAACGCCGAGCGGGGCGGCCGTTGAGTCTCTGGACCAAGTATTACAGCTCCCTTCCTTCTGCCTGGCCATCTGACTACTCAGATTTTTGGAAGCGGGCACATAGCTTCGGTTCTGCCCTGCTTGGTTTGCGTTTCTGTCTCCTGCAAGAGCGATGATCGCTGTCTGCCCGGCAGAGCTGCTAGGGGCAGCATTCCTGGAAGCTCCCGCCTCCAGATGGTGATGCCAGGTCCCATGTGACCCCCACCCAGCGTGCGGAAGCACAGCGACATTCTGGAGTGCGATTCCATCTGATGCAGAGCTCCCTGTCCTGGGCAGGTCTTGCTGCTGCCACCGCCACCTCAGGTGGAGGCAGCTTTGCACAGGTCTGCAGTAGAGTGAGGTGGACAGCAGACTCACCTGAGGGTCTTGTTGCTCTCCACTCCCTCCCCCTCCCCCCACCCAAATGAGTGACTTCTGGGGCAGGCCACACAGCACAGTCAACACACAAAGACATCCCACAGCTGAAGGTCAAAAATGAAAGGAGGGGGGCGTTTTGCCGATGAGACGTAGCAGCACGTGGTGCACGTTTGGCTGAGTCAGGTATTTTGGTCGGTCACGTGTGGGCTGTGTGGGCAGTGGTTGGAGTGGGTTGTCCTGTGCAGCCCGGAATGGGATAAGGAGCCTCTAAAGGGGTGTTAAAAGAAGTCAAGGCCCGCTCTAAAGACTTTTGGAATCCATAATCACCTCAAAGTGATTACAGAGGCCCAGCTTGGGGGTGGAGGGAGAACCCAAATACTCGATGCCTATCTGTAAGGGCAACTGTAAGTACACCAGTAGGAATAACTACAATCCCTGATTGAGCTCTTACCTGGTGCCAGGTGTGGTTACCACGTG